AGGCTGGAGTGCAGTGGTGTGATCTTGGCTCATTGCAACCTCTGCCTCCTGGCTTCAAGTGATTCTCCTGCCTCAGCCTCCCGAGTAGCTGGGATTACAGGTGCCTGCCACCATGCCCAGCTATTTTTTTTAATTTTTAGTAGGGATAGGGTTTCACCCTATCGGTCAGGCTTGTTGAGAACTCCTGATCTCAGGTGATCCGCCCGCCTTGGCCTCCCAAAGCACTGGGATTACAGGCATGAGCCACTGCACCTGGCCTAGCCTGGCTACTTTTTAAATTTTTTGTAGAGGCAGGGTCTTGCTATGTTTCCCGGGCTTGTCTCAAACTCCTAGGCTCAAGCAATCCTCCCACCTCAGCCTCACAAATCACTGGAGTGACAGATGTGAGCCACTGTGCCTGACCTGGCATCTCTTTTTCTTTTTTCTTTCTTTCTTTTCTTTTTCTTTTTTTTTTTTTTTGAGACAGAGTCTTGCTGTGTCACCAGGCTGGAGTGCAGTGGTGTGATCTCAGCTCACTGCAACCTCCACCACCTGAATTCAAGCGATTCTCGTGCCTCACCGTCCCGAGTAGCTGAGATTACAGGCATGTGCCACCACACCAGCTAATTTTTGTATTTTTAGTAGAGACGGGGTTTCACTATGTTGTCCAGGCTGGTCTTGAACTCCTGACCTTAGGTGATCCACCCACCTCGGCCTCCCAAAGTGCTGGGATTACAGGTGTGAGCCACCACAGCCGGCTGGTTTCTGTTTTCGATAACTCTGTCTTCTCCCGTTTGCTGGATCCTCTTCATTTTCCCTACTTCCAACTGTTGAGGTGCCCCAGAGTTTAGTACTTAAACCTCTTTTGTATCTACTGTCACTTTCTAGGTGATCTCCAGGCCTTTGAAGCCATCTGTATGTCAGTAACTCCCCAGTTTGTATCTCCAGCCTGAACCTGTCTCCCTCCCGATCTGTACATATCTCTACCTGGATATATTAGGCACCCCACTTGCGTGTCCCAAACAGAGTCTTGGATGTGGACTGTCCCCTCTACTTCAAGCCACTCCTGCAGACCTCAGCTGCACTGGCTCAGGACAAAAACCTCAGTGTCATCCTTGATTGCATTCTTTCTGCCATAACCCATGTCCAGCCTGTCAGCAAACCTTCTTGGCTATATCTTCAAAGGATCAACAGAATCCAGCCATTTCCTTCGACCTTTTGCTCTGTCTCTGACTGCTCCCAAGATCTAAGCCACCACCATTTCTCACCTGGGCTACTGAAATAGCCTCCCAGCTGGTTTCTTTGCTTCTGTCCTTGCCCACCTGCACTCTCTTCTCACCACGGCTGCCAACAATCTTGTTAAAACCTGAGTCAAATAGTGTTATTTCTTGGTTCAGTCCCTCCCCTCCATATTCTCAGAATAACACTGGAGTCATTATTAAGACTTGCAAGGTCCCACATGCTCTGCGCCCTGGATTTCTAATCTCCATTGTTCCCACCCTTGATCACTGTATTAGTCAGGGTTCTCTAGAGGGACAGAACTAATAGGATAGATGTAGATATGAAAAGGAGTTTATTAGGGAGTATTAACTCACATGACCACAAGGTAAAGTCCCACAATAGCCTGCAAGCTGAGGAGCAAGGAAGCCAGTCCAAGTCCCAAAACCTCCAAAGTAGAGAAGCCGACAGTGCAGCTTTCAGTCCGTGGCCAAGGGCCCAAGAACCTCTGGCAAACCACTGGTGTAAGTCCAAGAGTCCCAAAGCTGAAGAACTTGGAGTCTGATGTTGGAGGGCAGGAGGCATCCAGCACGTGGGAAAGATGAAGGCCAGAAGACTCAGCCAGTCTGCTCTTCCATCTTCTCCTGCCAGCTTTATTCTAACCACACTGGCAGCTGATTAGATGGTGCCCACTAAGATTGAGGGTGGGTCTGCCTCTCCTGGTCCACTGAGTCACATGTTAATCTCCTTTGGCAACACCCTCACAGACATACCTAGGAACCACACTTTGCATTCTTTAATCTAATCAAATTCACACTCAGTATTAACCATCACAGCCCCCCTATTCCAGCAACATGTCTGGCACACGTCTACCTCAAGACCTTTGGACTTGCATCTCATACTACCTAGATTTCTTTCTCCCAGATATTTATTTGCATGACTCACTTCCTCACTTTCTGCAGATTTTTTTTTCCTCAAAAGCCACCTTCTCTGTAGACTTTGAGGAAAGCAGATTATGCACCATCATATGGGTGGGCCTCATTCAATCAGTTGAAGACCTTAAAAAAAAAGACCCAGTCCCCTCAGGAAGAAGGAATTCTACGTCCAGACTGCCTTTAGACTCCAGCTGAAACATGGGCTCTTCCCTGCAGCCTTCAATCTCTCTTTCTTTCTCTTCCTCCCCCATACCTCATTTTTTCATCTTACTGGTTTTATTTTCTGTTTTTCTGGAGAACCATGACTAATACAGATTTTGGTTCCCTGGCCAAGTTACGTAGAATATAAATATCCAACCCCTGACCAGTGCTGAGGCTCATGCCTGCAATCCCAGCTCTGTGGGAGGCTGAGGTAGGCAGATCAGGTCAGGAGTTTGAGGCCAGCCTGGCCAACATGGTGAAACCCCATCTCTATAAAAATTAGCAGCGCCTGGTGGTACTTGCCTGTAGTCCCAGCTACTTAGGAGGCTGAGGCAGGAGAATTGCTTGAACCTGGGAGGTAGAGGTTGTAGTGAGCGGAGATCACGTCACTGCACTCCAGCCTAGGTGACACAGTGAGACTCTGTCTCAAAAAAAATAAAAACAAAAACAAAAAACCCCACAATCTCCTGACATCTCATATCCCTCTTCTTGCTTTATTTTCTTTTTTAGAATATAGCACTATCTAAAATACTATATATCTTGCTATTTTGTTTTTTGTCTGTGTATTACTAGAATGTCACTTATTTAGGAAATTTATCTATTTAGAGATTCTAGAGGATCAAGGGTATATAATGAAACTAGCAGTTACATGTTATGTCTAACGTGTACTAGGTGCTAAATATTTTTTAAATGAATGAATAAATGAATAACTAAATGTATGAATGCTTGGTTAGTTGATTGGATGAGTGGTTGAATAATGGTGATGTGGCCCCCAAAATGCCACCCACTCAAGCCTACAAAGGTTTGAATCAGGCGTGAGAAAATACCCAATACCACTGTCAGACTGAGATGACTTAATATGATTCTAATAGTGTGACTGAGTCACAGAATGTGCCTTTTTAATGCATTTATTATTTACTTATTTTTTGAGACAGGGTGTCAGTCTGTTGCTCAGGGTGGAGTGCAGTGGCGCAATCAGAGCTCCCTGCAGTCTCAACCTCCTGGGCTCAAGTAAGCCCTTGTCTCAGCCTCCTGAGTAGCTGAGACTACAGGTATGAGCCACCGCACCCAGATTATTTTTTATTTATTTATTTATTTTTTTAGTAGAGATGAAGTCTTGCTGTGTTGCTCAGGCTGGGAATATGCCTTTTTAAAATTTTTATTTTTGGAGACAGAGTCCTGCTCTGTTGCCCAGGCTGGAGTACAGTGGTGTGATCTCGGCTCACTACAATCTCCATCTCCCAGTTCAAGCGATTCTCCTGCCTCAGCCTCCTGAGTGGCTAGGATTACAGGCATGAGGCGAATTTTTGTATTTTTAGTAGATATGTGGTTTCATCGTGTTGGCCAGGCTGACCTCGAACTCCTAACCTCAGATGATCCACCCACCTCAGTCTCCCAAAGTGCTGGGATTTACAGGCATGAGCCACTACATCTGGCCAAATATGCCCTTTTTAAAAAAATATATTTTTTTTAATTGTGTTTTAGGTTTTGGGATACATGTGAAGAACATGCAAGATTGTTGCATGGGATACATACATGGCAGTGTGGTTTGCTGCCTTCCTCCCCACCACCTATATCTGACATTTCACCCCATGTTATCCCTCCCCAAATCCCCATCCCCTGCTGTCCCTCCCCTAGTTCCCCGCCACAGACCCCAGTGTGTAGTGCTCCCCTCCCTGTGTCCATGTGTTCTCATTGTTCAACACTCACCTATGAGTGAGAACATGCAGTGTTTGATTTTCTGTTCTTGTGGCATTTTGCTGAGAATGATGGTTTCCAGATTCATTCATGTCTGTACAAAGGACAGGAATTCATCGTTTTTTATGGCTGCATAGTATTCCATGGTGTAGATGTGCCACATTTTCCCTGTCCAGTCTATCATAGATGGGCATTTGGGTTGGTTCCAAGTCTTTGCTATTGGAAACAGTGCTGCAATGAACATACGTGTGCATGCATCCTTATAATAGAATGATTTATAATCCTTTGGATATATACCCAGTAATGGGATTGCTGGGTCAAATGGAATTTCTATGTCTAGATCCTTGAGGAATCGCCACACTGTCTTCCATAATGATTGAACTAATTTACACTCCCACCAACAGTGTAAAAGTGTTCCTGTTTTTCCACATCCTCTCCAGTATCTGTTGTCTCCAGATTTTTTAATGATCACCATTCTAACTGGCATGAGATGGTATCTCAATGTGGTTTTGATTTGCATTTCTCTAATGACCAGTGATGATGAGCATTTCTTCATATGTTTGTTGGCCTCATATATGTCTTCTTTTGTAAAGTGTCTGTTCATATCCTTCGCCCACTTTTGAATGGGCTTCTTTGTTTTTTTTCTTGTAAATCTGTTTTAGTTCTTTGTAGATTCTGGATATTAGCCCTTTGTCAGATGGGTAGACTGCAAAAATTTTTTCCCATTCTGTTGGTTGCCGATTCACTCTAATGACTCTTTATTTTGTTATGCTGAAGCTCTGGAGTTTAATTAGATCCCGTTTGTCTATTTTGGCTTTTGTTGCCAATGCTTTTGGTGTTTTAGTCATGAAGTCCTTGCCTATGCCTATGTCCTGAATGGTTTTGCCTAGGTTTTCTTCTAGGGTTTTTATGGTGTTAGGTCTTATGTTTAAGTCTTTAATCTATCTGGAGTTAATTTTAGTGTAAGGTAAAAATATGGAATGCTTCACAAATTTACGTGGCATCCTTGCACAGGGGCCATGTTAATCTTCTCTGTATCGTTCCAATTTTAGTAAATGTGCTGCCTAAGGGAGCACCAAATATGCCCTTTTTAAAGTCCCATTCTGAAGAGGGAGGAGTTGGCTACAGAATAGGATACTTGCCAATGAGGCAATTAGCAAATATTTGTTGAGCACCTGCTATGTGTTTGAGACAAAAGAAAAAGCATTTATTTGAATAATTTTACTGGCCCCTTCCTATGCAGTAAGCACCATTGAGAACCAAAGGTGACTGAAGCAAAGGCCTCTGACCTCAGGGAGCTGCTACTCTAGACAGGAAAACACATTCTACAACAACAATCCAGATAAGTAATGGTGCAAGATGGTGGTAGTATTGGAGACATCCCAATGAACTAAGCATAGCATCCACTTCAATGAGAAGTGTGGGGTGTGGGAGTGGCAGGAGTTGGTGAGGGTGCAAGCCATCAAGGCACGAGGCACCCCATGTCCAGACGTGGGGCTGGACCTACCTGACTCGGGAGCAGCTGGACAGCCCAGCTGTGTGGAGGGAGGTTTTCTTGTTTTTTTTTTTTTTTTTTTTTTTTAAGTGCAGTGGTGCAATAACAGCTCAGTGGTGCAGCCTCGGCCTCCTGGGCTCAAGTGATTCTCCCACCTCAGCCTCCTGAAGTAGCTGGGACTACAGGTGTGTGCCACCAAGCCCAACTAATTATTTAAATTTTTTGTAGAGAAGGGATCCAATGTTCTTGCCCAGGCTGATCCTGAACTCCTGGGCTCAAGTGACGCACTCATCTCAGCCTCCCAAAGTTCTGGGATTACAGTTGTGAGCCACTACGCTCAGCTGAAGTTCTTTTAGTGCGTGTTCTGGACTAACACAAGAAAAACCAGTGGGGCTAAACTGAAGTTATTTAGGAATAAAGCCGTGTACTAGTATTCACTCCTTCTAGGCTAGCATGAGGGAAAATTTTGGAATTTTTGGGGGGGCCCATATACCTCCCCTTTCCCCTTTTTTCTTTTCTTTCTTTTTTTTGAGAGGGAGTCTAGGTCTGTCACCCAGGCTGGAGTGCAGTCACGCTATGTTGGCTCATTGCAATCTCCGCCTCCCAGGTTCAAGCAAATCTCCTGCGTTCAAGCAATTCTCCCGCCTCAGCCTCCCAAGTAGCTGAGATTATAGGCACCTGCCACCATGCCCAGCTAATTTTTGTTTGAGGCAGAGTCTCGCTCTGTTGCCCAGGCTTAGTGCAGTGGTGCAGTGGTGGCTCACTGCAATCTCCACCTCCCAGGTTCAAGTGATTCCCTTGCCTCAGCCTCTTGAGCAGCTGGGTTTACAGCTCTGTGCCCCCATGCCCAGGTAATTTTGTACTTTTAGTAGAGACAGGGTTTCTGCATGTTGGCCAGGCTGATCTCAAACTCCTGACTTCAGGTGATCCGACCGCCTCAGCCTCCCAAAGTGCTGAGATTACAGGCATGAGCCACCACACGGAGCTCCTCATTTTTCTACCTCAGATGGATAATGTGCTGGTGTTGGAATGAGGTTTGAGGGGGGCACATCTTACAGTGTCATGAGAACCCAATAATCAAGCTTATGAACCACAAAAAGGGTCTATTACTCCTTTTTTGAGAGGCATGGCATAATAGAAGGCCACTGGCCTAAGATCAAAATATCTGACTGGTAGCCAGAGCTTCACCACTTAATTTTTTTTTTTTTTTTTTTTTTTTTTTGAGATGGAGTCTTGCTCTGTCATCCAGGCTGGAGTGCAGTGGCATGATCTTGGCTCACTGCAACCTCTGCCTCTCAGGTTCAAGTGATTCTCCTGCCTCAGCCTCCCGAGTAGCTGGGATTATAGGCACCTGCCACCACACCTGGCTAATTTTTGTATTTTTAGTAGAGATGCGGTTTCACCATGTTGGCCAGGCTGGTCTCGAACTCCTAACCTCAAGTGATCCACCTATCTTGGCCTCCCAAAGTGCTGGGATTATAGGTGTGAGCCACTGTGCCCGCTTGTAATTATTAAGTGGCTCACCACTTAATAATTACGTGATTTGGAGCAATTCATTTGGCTTCACAAAGCCTCAATTGCTTTATCCAATAAATGGGAAAATAACATCAACCTCATACCTATCTCACAGGACTTCTGTGACAAACACATGAGAAGATGCTTGTGAAAACACTTCATTAATTTGTAGTTCTGTACAGCTTTTAAGGCTTAGTATTCTCACTATAACCAGCGTGAAGTTTTTGACAAACTTCAGAGTGTAAGCAGTTCATGTCTGTTTCATGTTTCCAAGTTCAATTAAGACAGATTCAGGCATAGCTGAGTATGGTGGCTCATATGTGTAATCCCAGCACTTTGGGAGGCCGAGGCGGGCAGATCACCTGAGGCCAGGAGTTTGAGACCAGCCTGGCCAACATGGCAAAACCCTGTCTGTACTAAAAATACAAAAATTAGCCAGGTGTGGTGGTACGTGCCCATAATCTCAGCTACTCAGGAGGCTGAGGCAGGAGAACTGCTTGAACCCAGGAAGCAGAGGTTGTGGTGAGCTGAGATGGCACCACTGCACTCCAGCCTGGGAGAAGACTCCATCTCAAAAAAAAAAAAAAAAAAAAAAAAGGATTCAGGCCGGCAAATGCCTGAAATCATTCAGGAAATCCAGTGCCAACTTCTCAGACTCACCCGTACTTGTACTCTTCCAGGCAGTTAGAGAACATTGTGGGCTTTACACAGTCCACATGGATGATCCCAGCTAACTGTCGCTGGGAGTGCGCAGCAATGCTGGCATTGCTATGCTTGGTCCTTGCTGCCTCCCAGTGTGACAAAGAACACTGGTCTCCCGTGGCTGCTGACCAGTGTTTTTACTCTTGCTGCTGTGAAGTTCCCTGGACCCAGCTTCTATCTCAGGCCAGTGTGTCATCAACCCTCTCTGTGATTTGCTCAACCAGGGGTGCTTGACTCATGGCACATGGGCATCCGTAGGTCACAGTTCTTTCTTTTCTTTTTTTTTTTTTTAAGAGATGGGGGTCTCACTAAGTTGCCCAGCCTGGTCTCAAACTCCTGGACTCAAGCAGTCCTCTTGCCTTAGCCTCCCAAAGTGGTGGGGTTACACGTGTGAGCCACTGCAGCCAGCCTGTATTAGTCTGTTCTCACACTGCTATAAAGAACTACCTGAGACGGGGTAATTTATGAAGAAAAGAGGTTTAATTGACTCACAGTTCTGCGGGCTGTACAGAAGCATGGCTGGGAGGCCTCAGGAAACGTACAATCATGCAGAAGGTGAAGGAGAAGCAAGCACATCTTACCATGGCAGAGCAAGAGAGAGAGCAAGCAAGCGGGGAAGTGCCACACTTGTGAACCATCAGATCTCATGAGAACTAACTCGCTATCATGAGAACAGCATGGGGGAAATTTGCCTCCATGATCCAGTCGCCTCCAACCAGGTCCCTTTCTTGACATGTTAGGATTACAATTTGACATGAGATTTGGGTGTGGACACAGAGCCAAACCATATCACAGCCTATAGGTCACAGTTTTTTTGTGTCTGGTCCCATCAGTCACACAAGTTTGTCCCTTCCAGTGCCCTGATGTCCTAGAAGTGCTGGGCCCAGGTTGGCTCAGGTATCCCTATTTTGTGAAACTCACAACTATTGCCCCCTTTCCAGTCCTAGGGAGTTCAACAGCACCAGAGGGCTCATTGTATATCCCCTAAAGACAATACAGGGGTCATACCCTCTCTTAAGACATTTACATTGTCTTCTCCACTAACTACTGCTCCAATCCACCACACAGTTTCTTTCCTTTGACTCTTCAAACATAAGAAAGTCTGTTTTCTGGATCCCAGGACTTGGTTTCCTCCAATGGAGTCAGCTTTTCAAGCACACCGCAAGCTTATTTATGTCACACTTCTTCCCGCTTTCTGTTTTGAGAAGTATCTTCCTTAAGATGGCTAAGGTGATAGATACAAGTCCAAAACCGAAGTTTATCCAATGAGAGAACATTGTGAGATATATATAAAATCTCATGGCATATACTTTAATCCTTTAAATGATGAACTTTCTAAAACGCACTCTGCCCAACCCTGCATTCACAAACAGACTGCGAAAAGTCATTTACGGTCTACTTCCTGGTGCGGAGACATCATTGTATGGCAATGTTCTTGCTCTCCCTCTGCTGTCAGGCTGTGAGTGAATATCTCACAATTCTGGATCAGTATCTCTCCCTTTCGCTCTCCTCTTTCATCTAATTTCCTATTATTTTCAGTGAAACTGGATAACAAAATTTGCCAGAGTTATGTACAAATAAAACACTGGTAAGTATTTAGCTTGATAAATATTTGTTAAATACAGGAACGGATAAATGAATCAGGTGTTCAATGATCTCTTGGGGGCCAAAGTGCATGAGTGTTGTGAGAGTAATTTCAGTGGCTCTGTGGCCTCTTTGCCTCTGCCAGGGAGAGCTACGTTCCACGGAGTTGAGGTGGCCAGGAGAGTGGCCTTCAGAAAACTGCAGAATTGCAAATCTGTCGTTTTCCAAAAGGAAGACTTGTAAAAAAATTTAAAAGGCAGTTTTGGACCCAGAATTCTGTAGAGTGGCCAGTAACCATCAGTGTGACTTTGGCAAGTCACCACCTCTTGGGGTCTCTGTTTTCTAGTTTTAAGTAAAGTCAGATTGGATTAATAGTTGTTAACTATTTTTGGTTTGCAAACTCCTTTGCTCTCCTTCCTCTGTCATGCATCTCCACACATGTAAACAAAACTCAGAGGCCAGTTTTTCATGGACTCTCTGTAACCTATTCCAAGACCCCCACATTAAGACCCTAATGTCGTGCCTTCGATAATCACCATAATTTACCTCTGATTTTGAATGATAGGAATTTTTGAAATTGCAATGTCTAACTTAGGGAAATTTTGAAGGGTGTAGACTTGTTCTCAGGGCTCTTCAACTGTATGACCTCAGGAAACTATTCAAAAACCCCATCCTAAATAGAACGTTTTAAATTTAAAATGTGAAGTGTGTTTCCCTACTGTGAGCCCAACTACAATTGTTGGCTCTTTGAGGTAATTTGTATATAATAAAAAGGAGTGTGTAGTATATTTTAAAATGGTAATCATGTAATAACATAGTTTACCTATTGTTCCTAAAACACCTCATGATTAATTTACTTTTATGGGGGTATGTTTCAGAAGTAAGACAAATCAGTGGGAGACCGTGAAAGTGACTGAGTGGGCCCTGACTCATGGGCTTCTCTGTCGTACGTCCCTTCTGACCCCCACCGCCATCCCTCCCACTGTTGCCAACGCACCAAACTCCACCTTAACCCACCTATGAGCTCCTTTCCAGGTTCACAGACCCAGTAACTGCCTGACATTTTATGGCCCCCAGATACCAAAACAAGGGTTTGGTAAACCAATGGGTTCGGTTAAACCTATCAGGTTTGACCAATGACCCTACTCAGGTGGCCTTGACCTCATCTCCTATGTTCCATTCAGTTATTCTTGAAAGCTAGAAAGCTAGTGGGAGACATTTCCAAGGGCCACCAGGAGAATATGACTTACTATAGCAAGAGTAAAGAAAGGCCATGGATCAAACCAAGACTAGCGCTTCTGAATGCAAACCAAAAATGGAAGCCACAGATCCTATTTTTGGACCATGGGAGGGAAGACAAGAAAAAGTAACTGCAGAGAAATAGATGCCTGTGATTGGAGCAATTCCCCAGTAATCGACACTAATCAGGGTGACATTAGAATGGAATAATGTAGAATTCAATAGAAATGTATATTACATCCATTGGGAGCCAGATGACTTCATCACAGCTAATGTTATTACAATGAATATAAAAGGAATTAATGATTCACCATTTAGTTACTTTCTTCCCTTCCCCCAACACCTTTTCTTCAGCTTTAACAAACTGGTCTGGAGCCAACTGCTACATCAGTTTAGTAATGACTTTAAGCACCATTTACGCTGCTATCATGGCAATTTAAATTGTCACTTTCTATTAAAAGGTCTACCTCAGAATGGTTTTAAGTGAAAGCGTTCCACACTGACAGTGCAATTAAACAAGAAAAAAAATCCTTTCTTGGGATGTCAGTGCAAACGCATTTTAAATAGTGGTTCAGCAGCGCCTTGCTAATTTAAACTACAGTATTGCTTTCTACTAAAGAATAGAAACTGATTTGGGCTTTTTTCCCTCCCCGTACTGTATGACAGTTTGAATTGGCACTGTGTTCCAGTCAAAGCCCTGATGTGCCAAGGGGGTCCCTGAACCTAAAGTGTATCCCTCCCAAGGCAGGCATTAAACAGAAATCATTTACCCATGTGAAGGGGAAGCTTCACCTTTCACAGCATTTGCTTTTAAAATTGCCCTTTTCTAATCCAAATTGCGTTTCTCAAACCATGGTCTCACTTGCTCTTCAGCGAGAGAATGGAGAGGTATGAGGGACCTACTTTATTGAGATGACAACTTTCTGAATCAAAAATGAACAATCGGGAGGCCAAGGTGGGTGGATCATACGAGGTCAGGAGTTCAAGACCAGCCTGACCAACATGGTGAAACTTCATCTCTACTAAAAATACAAAATTAGCTGGGCATGGTGGCGCATGCCTG